GTTCGTTAGAAAATATGTATATGCACGTTTTGGTATGTATTCTTGTCATAACATTTTCTTTCTTTCTAATTTAATCACTCTTTCATACATCTCTCTGAGTGGAGCGAATGTTCGAAAGAGCTTCCTGTCTCTTTCCTCTTCGTGAACTTATTTTTTCGTCTCCATTTTACAAGCAAAAAAGTAAACATTCATTGGTTTAGAGAGCGAAACAACGGCGAAGGTGAGTCGCCGGAGAAGAGATTAGACTAATTTTTTTTTTCTTTTGGTTGAGAACATATTTAAATTTCATGTCATGTTAACGATTTCATTGCTTTTAGAGTTTTAATTTTAATTTGGCGNAAAAAAAAAAAAAATCTTTGTGTGCGTTTTTGATCTGTTTATGGCGTAATTTCGGATTGATTTAGCCTGAAATGAAGATTAGTTTCTATAAAATCGTTCATTTTTATTTACATAGTGAATATGTTTAGAATCATTTCTTAATTTTTGGCAATAAAAGTAGGTTTGTGCGATGCAGAAATGAGTTCTTTAAAATGGAAATGATGTTCAAAATTTTAGGGTTTGTATGTACCGTAACTCGCAAACAAGAAGCTGATTTTGTGGTTATATAAATGTTTTTTTCTTTTCTTAAGGCACTAATTTTGTTTTTCTTTTATATGAAGCAGACACAAGTTCTTGACCTCTTCTTCACGTCATGACTGTTCCCGGAATTATCTCCGACTTAGACGGAGACAACGGAGAAGAATTTACTTCCTCCAAAGTGGCTTCTTCCTCCGGTGAGAGGAAAATCATAGTGTCCAACATGTTACCTCTTCAATCTAAAAGAAACGTAGAAACTGGTAAACTCTGTTTTACTTGGGACGAAGATTCTCTCCAATTTCAACTTCGAGATGGGTTTTCTTCACAAACAGAGTTTCTCTACGTTGGATCACTTAACGTTAACGTCGAAGCGAACGAACAAGAAGAAGTTTCACAGAGACTTCTCAAGGATTTCAACTGTGTTGCAACGTTTTTGTCTCAAGAGTTACAAGAAATGTTCTACTTTGGTTTCTGTAAACACCAGTTATGGCCTCTATTTCATTACAGGCTCCCAATGTTTCCTGATCATGGAGATCGTTTCGACGTTCGTCTATGGCAAGCTTATGTCTCAGCTAATAAGTTATTTTCAGACAAGGTTATGGAAGTTATTAACCCTGAGGATGATTATGTATGGATTCAAGATTATCATCTAATGGTTCTTCCTACTTTCTTGAGGAAACGTTTTCACAGGATCAAGCTTGGTTTCTTCCTTCATAGTCATTTTCCTTCCTCTGAGATTTACCGAACATTGCCTGTTCGTGACGAGATTTTGAGAGGTTTGTTGAATTGTGATCTCATTGGATTCCATACGTTTGATTACGCGAGGCATTTCTTGTCTTGTTGTAGTAGAATGCTTGGTCTTGATTACGAGTCTAAGCGTGGACACATTGGACTTGATTACTTTGGTCGGACTGTGTATATCAAGATTCTTCCTGTTGGTGTTCATATGGGAAGACTGGAATCTGTTTTGAATCTTCCTTCGACGATAGCGAAAACAAAAGAGATTCAAGAACAGTTTAAAGGGAAAAAACTCGTTCTTGGCATTGACGATATGGATATATTTAAAGGCATAGGACTAAAGCTTCTAGCAATGGAGCATCTCTTTGAAACATATTGGCATTTGAGAGGAGAAGTTGTTCTTGTTCAAATACTGAATCCGGCAAGATCTTTTGGTAAAGATACGGAAGAAGCAAAGAGAGAAACGTATGAGACCGCGAAAAGGATCAATGAGCGCTACGGTACTCTTGATTATAAGCCAATAGTCTTGATCGATCGTCTTGTTCCACGTTATGAGAAAACCGCGTATTGCGCTGCTGCAGATTGTTGTTTAGTGAATGCAATGAGAGATGGCTTGAACTTAGTTCCTTATAAATATATAGTATGCAGGCAAGGGTCTCGAAAGAAGGCCCTTGATGATTTATCTCCCCGCACGAGCATGCTTGTTGTATCCGAGTTTATCGGATGCTCGCCTTCTTTGAGTGGTGCTATTAGGGTGAATCCATGGGATGTAGATGTTGTTGCCGAAGGGGTTAACTCGGCTCTTAAAATGAGTGAGGCTGAGAAGCAACTACGACATGAGAAACATTACCATTACATTAGTACTCATGATGTTGGCTATTGGGCAAAGAGCTTTATGCAAGATCTCGAGAGAGCGTGCAAGGATCATTATAGTAAACGTTGTTGGGGGATTGGATTTGGATTGAGTTTTAGAGTTTTATCGCTCTCTCCAAACTTTAGGAAGCTATATGTGGAACACATTGTCCCGGTTTATAGTAAAACAGAGCGAAGAGCGATATTTCTTGATTATGACGGTACTCTTGTTCCTCAAAGCTCCATTATTCAAGATCCAAGCGCCGAGGTTCTCCATATTTTGAAGGCTCTATGTGAAGATCCTAAAAACACTGTGTTTATTGTAAGCGGAAGAGGACGAGAGTCTCTTAGTAATTGGTTATCTCCTTGTGAAAATCTTGGCATAGCGGCTGAACATGGATACTTCATAAGGTACATAAGTGTTGAATCTTGTATGTTTCCACGAAGGTTTTGAATACAAGTTTTTGAATTGTATGAACTTAAAAGATACTCTTTGTTTGGCTTATGGGATTCTTCAGGTGGGGTAGCAAGAATGAATGGGAGACTTGTTACTCACCCGCGAATAGAGAGTGGAAGACAATGGTGGAACCAATAATGAGATCATACATGGAGGCAACGGATGGGTCGAGCATAGAGTTTAAAGATAGTGCTTTGGTGTGGCATTATCAAGACGCAGATCCGGATTTTGGATCATGCCAAGCTAAGGAACTGCTCGATCATCTAGAGAGCGTGCTCGCGAATGAGCCTGTTGTTGTCAAGAGAGGTCAACACATTGTAGAAGTTAAACCAGAGGTAAGTAAAAAAACATA